GCTTTCTACGTCAGTATCTCCGGTGTCATTCTCTACCCCGCTACGTAGTTTTTTTTTCTCCAAATCTGCTGAAATGCCTCTTCTTAAGAGGATTACGGCAATCAAATATACGTTTGCCAATGTATAAACAAGCCAATGCTTCATGGAAATTAGTTATTCTTCACTTACAAAGTGCTCAGTGGGAACTGCGTAGAAACTATGACCTTACCCAGCAAAGATCTGACAACTCCCCTAAATCAAAGAAGATAGTTAGAAAGTTGTAAAAAATTGAATAAGGCTATGACATTTAATAAGGGTAATCATGGAAAATAAAACTCAAATTTTTTAATGTATTAATGTATCATTAAAAAATGTAAGAGGAAATAATACATCCATGAGAAGAAGTGAGAAGTTCCAAGCAAGATGGTTAGGGTGAAGGTTGCTAGAATTCCTCTATTTAAATATCTAGATAGCTAAGTTACTATGTATCTTTATTTATAACTAAAATTACATTTGATTAATTGCAGAAAAGATAACTGATGGTAGCAATGGAGATGTTGCTATTGATCAATATCACCGTTATAAGGTTTGAAAATCACATAATTGTATTATGTAGACCTTCTATATTTGAATTTGAACACACGACATTAAAGATGATATCCTTAATTTTTAGCTTCTTTTTTATAATTATGTACATCTTTTGTATCATTATAGGAAGATGTGGCAATTATGAAGGATATGGGGTTGGATGCTTATAGGTTCTCCATCTCATGGTCCAGATTGTTACCAAGTAAGTTGATCATCCGCATCGACATATATTATTATTGCGACCAATCGCTTTAACGTTTAACATCTTTTATTCAATTTAATTCCTATTTCATGATAGGCATTGGCTTATATTTTTCTTGTTTTGTTTTAATTATCATTAGATGGAACACTAAGTGGTGGGATTAACAAGAAAGGAATCGAATACTACAATAATCTCACCAATGAACTCCTACGCAATGGTGATACAGCTCCTGATCTCATAAAATCCTCATAATATAACAGTACCTGCAATTGTTTA